CAGTTGACAGACCTGTCAGAGTGTATGCAGATGGAATATTTGACCTCTTCCACTCCGGCCACGCTCGAGCTCTTATGCAAGCCAAAACTCTATTCCCAAATAGCTACTTATTAGTAGGAGGTAAGATTCAGAGCTATTTACCAAACAGAGTTTTTGCCTCTGTTTTCTAGAGCAGAGACAGAGCTGTTTCTATGCCTTCACCCCCAACTGTTTTTACACTGTGACTCCAAGCACTACTTTCTCTCTCCGTGGTGTTCCATATACTGTTTTTCTTGAGCGTATCTTAAAATTGCATCAATTAAAGTTAAAAGTCACATTCTTTCCTTAGCAGCATGTGTGTTATTCACATTCTATTTAAAGGGAAAGGCCAGAATGGCTCTAAAGGCAGAATGTATCTGAATAAGTATTTACCTTCTTTATTTATTGTGTAAGTGTTGTAAAAGAGGTAGGGCTGAGAGAAGTCCACATTCATAATAGAATTAATGATGTTAGCATTTTTTGCAGTTCACAAAATATCTGGGAGCAGATTGTGATTTCTTTCAGATTTCATTTAAATTTATTTAGTGAACTTTGTAGGGTTTTTTTCCCATGTGTAAATAAGATAAGAGATATTCAAAAAGTGTTATATGTCAAAGAAGGCATGTGGTAATGCTTCTGTCTCTATTGGCAATTGTGCAAGGAATTTTTGGTGAATATATTTGGTGCTCTTGAATAACAGTGCCTGTGGCTTTGAAATTTACTTTTCACAAATATTTGACAGCAGAAGTCTCCTACACGAACATTCATGAATGTGGTTATGAAAGGGCTGTGAATATGACAGAAGTGAACATGCATTCAAATGCATAATCAGAAACATAGTTTTATTATAATACCAGCTCTGCAAAAAAAACCCAAAACAAAACAAAAAACCCCCAGGAAAACTGGAATCTTGTCCTTACGCTCACTTTAGTGTTATACTTAAATGATTACAATTCAGCTGGAGCTTTCTGATAGTACTTTTGTATAAAGGAATGGAGATCTGTTCTGTAAATGAAGGAAACACTTCACACATTGGTCCGCAGTATTTTTCCAGTTGAGCAGAAAGAAAAGATAAGTGGGACTGCCAGGGAAGGGATTTCAAAAATGGGAACTGCTCCTTTGAGACTTCTCTCTAAAACTAAGGGGACAGTTATGGGCAACATTCACGCCCCACTGAAGTTTATGGCAAACCTCCTGTTGATTTCCTTGGGATAAGAGATTCTCCCCAGTAATGTGCTGTCTTGACAGGTGTGTAAAGCAGGAAATTCTAGACTCCTTTAAAAATGCTGTGTTGTAACAGAGCTGGGTGTTTTGTGCTTCCCTGTATCCATTCCCTCCTCCCGCTCTCAACTTATTTCTTGTTTTGGTGACAATTAGTTTTTAATTCTTAACTACAAACAAGTCAGTCACAAAATATTACTTATGGATACCTAATGAATGCATGATCAGGAAGAAAGGGGTAACCAAAAAGAGTGCCTTAGTAGCTAAAGAATTTGTACCTTAAATAAAGCACTATTAAAAGGAAATATATTTGTTGACAATTAAAAAGTGCTGTCTGCTAATAATCAGTGACATTTACATGGCATGTTTCTTCCAGGAGAACCAGACTCTCATGTGATTTACAGACAGTAAATAAGTATAAATACAATCCCAGAGGGATCTTTCTACTCGCCATTGAAAATGTATTGATCTGTGGAACATCTGTTGCCAACATATCCCAAAGCAATTATAGAGGAAGGGAAGCATCACCTGTCCATTTAGAAATACAATTATGTTGATAATTAGAATTTGGCCATGACTCTCAGAGTAACTAAGGCCTTCTATATTGGTAAAAGGTGCTTTAAAACTTTTATGGCCATAGTGGCAAACACCCTCTGTTTCACACCTTATTCAAACAATGATACCGCCAGTAGAATAGTGCCCAATAGGACCACACAGGAGCATCAGATCAGCTAATTCTCTAATTCAGTAAGTGTCCACCTCCTGAATTACCAACACTCTTTACTGCTCCAAAAATAGTATTCAGCATTTGTTTACACTTTATACCTTCAAAAAGCTATACAAATGTTATTAATCTCCATAACACCTCTATGATATAGGCATTATTTCCCAGTAGCTTCCTTGCTGGGGAGGAGGGGGACAAAAGGGATGCCATGAATGAGGCACATGGAAGCTGACTGAGAGGGGGTGCCAGAATGGCAGATACCACTGCCACCTACAGTATAAAGCTTCCTAGTTATGCCTCTGATTCTTTCCCATAATTTTAAAGGCCACACAACAGTGGCACAATCAGGATTGAAATATAGGATTTCCAAAAATCCTAAACCAAATGTTCATTCCTTCAGAGTAAGCTGTCGCAGATAATCCTATACATGGGTTTTTCTTCAGAGATTTTCAGCTTGAGTTTTCATCAAGGCCAAAACCACTTGCAGTTAAACTTACTATACTTGTAGCCCAAGATGCAATGACTGCCTTTGTTTCCTGTTTAGTATGCACTGGTTTTAAAGCAGCTTTCCAACAGGGATTTAGAGTTGTGCTGGCAAATTCAAAATCTGACTGCCAAGTTAATGAAATTTATGAACATTTTATGATTGCAGGCACTACATTTTTCTGTTCACTTTAAAAGCATTACTCATTCTAGAATGTTATGGAGCATTTCTCTCATTATGGTGCAGTACTTGCTTCTATTCCAAGGACAAGAATATGCACATTTTTATTTGTATTTGGTTTTGAATACTTCAAAAGTATAACCCAATAAACAAGTTTAACCAGGAGAATTGAAAAAAAAATAACTAGTAACTGTCAGATGTAATCATTTTGCAAAATCTGTGTAGCAGTATTTTGTTGACTGTTTACCATTGTCAGTTTGCAGCGATGATCTAACCCACAAATTTAAAGGCTTCACTGTAATGAATGAAACAGAACGGTATGAGGCCCTCAGGCACTGTCGCTATGTAGATGAAGTCATCAGAGATGCTCCATGGACGCTCACACCAGAGTTCTTGGAAAAACACAAGGTACTTTTCTTCCTCCTTCCTTTCGCTTGCTAAAACTGCTAGAAAGAAAACGACATGATGTTCAATTAACTGAAATAAATTAATTCATTCAACTTCAGGCTCAGAAAACATAAGGCATCATCTGCCCATTACTATATCAGAAAAATTTCTGCTTATATATTTTTAAACCTGAAAAATAGGTAAAAAGTGGGGGGGTGGGGATAACTATTTAGTTATCTAATAAAAGATATCACATTTACCCAAAACATCTTATCTGCCAATATAGACTTGCACTCCTAGAAAACCTTTGGTGTAATCTGGCTGATTTACATAGGAGGAAAATCAAGTAGCATGAAGTCACTAAAAAACCATTTGCAACCACAAATTGCAGGTGCAGAATGGGAGAATGGACTAGTCTACTATGTAATAACTAGTGTCTTAGTCCTGTTCCTATAAGATCAAGGGGTAATCTCCCATTGTCAATAGGTCTATAATTGAGCAGATATATATACATGAGTCACTGCCATCTAATGCATAAAAATTTTGACCGTTCAAGTGTATGTGACTGTTTTTACATTTTACTGGCTAATCCGTGGTATATATAAATACTCATGCAACTACAGCTGACTGGAATTTACATTAGCTCAAGGGCAGTGGTTATAAACCTTTAACGGTTAAGTGCTAGATAGGCACACATTCACATGAAACACCAGGAAGCTGGAACTAGAAACCTTCTTCCTTTGTTTTAGAAGTCAGTTTTTTGCCACTAGTGGTAAAAAAAATCTTCCTTAGGTGAGGCAGCTTCTCTGCATGTAAAGAACAACATCACACACAGAAAGCTAGAGTGCTTAGAAGCCCAAAGGTCCTGTGCTGTCTTAATTGTTAGCTACACCTGACTGTCTCTTCCCCTCCGTCACTTGCAGATTGATTTTGTAGCCCATGATGACATTCCATACTCCTCCGCTGGTTCGGATGATGTGTACAAGCACATAAAGGAGGCAGGTGAGGGCCATGTTACTTTTTAAATTCTGCTGTTTCAGCCTTTATTTTCAGAACCATCTAAGTATGCAACTGCCTTGTAACTGCAACTGCAGGAAGAAAAAAATAAATGCACATTCCTTCATGACCTATGAGTAGGTAAGTGTTGCTGACTTCAACAGAAAGGTGTCTCCCTGAAACCACAAGTAATGACCTTGGCTGTTAAAAAAATTGATTCCCATTGTAACAGTGAGGAAGCCATTCAGCTGATCACAAAACATTTTCTGCCTGGGTTATTACAGTACTTTTTAGTGCTTCAGTAGCAGCACTGGAATGCTGAAAAAGGAATCACTTCTCCATGTACTAATAGTAACAGATCCAGTATTCAGTCACCTTCTGATCCTGAGCTAAGGAACAGTTGTCTTGTGATCTCCAGCAAATCGACAAATGCTAGTACAAAAGGAACAGCAAAAATAGTTAAAAGGAGTGATGCAGAAACCCACCTGGAACTTGGATATAAGAGAAAAGATGTCAGGAGAGAAGAGTTAGAAGGGGATGCTAGGAAATCAGCCTGCATGCACAAGGCTAGAACACTGGCTGAAGATGTAGCACCTGTTTAAATCATTCTCTTTATAGACAGCCAACTTATTTTTAAAACTATGGGTCCTCTAATGTTATCCTCCAGCAGTCAGTTTAATGAAAAATTCAGCAAGGAAGAGAGAGTGATTAACAGTCAAACAAACAGCATCTAAAAACAGAGCAAACAGGCAGCATTAAGGGACTCAACCCCTAAGAATGCCTGATTTTCAAACTCCCTTTCCCCTTCTTTCCCCCAGATAAGAAGAAATGAGTTTGTACAGAGAGCTGACCAGGAAAAATAATGATGAGAAAATGAAGGGAAAGCTTTGCCTTAGTTAGGCATGGGGGCAGATATCAGATATGAGTGATCAGCCCTAAGTACTACCAATTAATAAGTGTTTGAGTACTATGATTTCAGACAGAGTGTGACTGTAGAGAGATTCGGTTTACTATATATATAAAACCTTAAACCAGAAGGAGGAATCTATACAGAGCTGAGAATATGGAGAATATCCATGTGCAACTTTGGAAGCATAAAATATTGCTTAATTCAAGACAAGAGCATCACATGGGATTTGTAATTCCAGTTTACTGGATGATCTCACCTGAGAAAAATGCTTCCAAATAGCAAGAGCAAATAAACTATCCAGAGAGAGGATCAATACCCACAAATATAGAACAAGTATGTAGGATCATGTGGAACTAACTCAGGAAAAAGGACAGAGATAGAGCACCAAGAATGCAAATATCCATGGTCCAGCAAGTATACTGTGAGAATGAAAATACCCAACCTATAAAACAGAGAAGTTAAATTCATCCCATACCTCAGTCTGGATTCGGACCATAGGGCTTGCTCATCGGCTGGATTTGCAAGGAAAGTGGCGGCTACAGTGGAGGCAGCAATGGTGGCAAAGGGACCACAAACTGTGGTGGCAGCAGCAGCCAAGGAAGCATCAACTGCAGCTGGGCCAGCAGCTACTTGCCAGGATGGAGGCAGCACAAGCAGTGTTGGTGGCAGGTCACACAGCTGTGTTATTGGCATAGCCCTCCCTCACCCAGTTGCCACTGGTGCCCATGTCTTGTGGGGTCCAGGGTTCCACAGTAGCCCTCGATCTTGCTGGCCACACTCCCAAGTCACTTGGCCTGCCAATAGCCTAGCTGGGCAGATGGAGCAGCTCTGCAGGTCAGATTCAGTCCCTGATACCCTTGTTGTAGACAATGTGCAGGAAGTGCAGAAGAGGACTTTATGTCCAAATGCTGCAGCTGCCCCAGGAAAGTAGTGACTGTCAAAGGGATTTCCAATGAAGAGCAGATTGTTTGCAGAATCTTTCCAAAGACTCTCAATATATGTACCCTTCCAGAAAAAGGCTGCTAGCCATTCTACTGCCATACTTGCAGTTTTGCTATTAGATGCAACACGTTCCCAGCAATAGCAATATCAGAGAAACAAGACATATAAAAAAATTAATTGATGAAGATGTATAATAAAACCAGTCTGAGGCCAAATTGTTATTGGATGATAAAAATAAACCCTGAAAAGAGAGGTGTTACTGCCTGGAATTTTTAGTAATTGATTTACATGAGTGTCGTAGGGCTGTTCAGAAAGGCAGAACTAACCATCAATTTGATCATGGCAAAACAACAGATTATCCTGAGTGCAAGAGAGAAGGGAGAACAGCCTGGTAGTCTGAGAGAACACAAGTTTTATTTAAAGAGAGGCATCCCTTAGCAGCAAGCTGAAGAAGCTGATGATCCCTACCTGCTTTTGTCATCTCGGCATCTGGTATTCTTTGCTACACAAGTTCCATGAGACTTGGTGGAACTCCTAAAGGAGGAACTGGCAAGCCTGCAAGAAAAGACAATGTTCATATTGCCATAAGGCAACCTGTTCACATTAGTAATGTGGTGAAATAAACTTCATATAAAACTGATGAGCACCTAGTGCACCACTATGGTACCTCAGAAAGAGGCTTAGAAAGAGCACTGATGCAAGTCCAGCAGACACTGATGGAGAACGTGCTCAGCTGCAGGCTGTGCTATTTGGAATAAAACAATACCATCAGTTCACCTTTGGTAAAAGGATGGAGCAGACCTGTTCGCTTTTGACAACAGGCACATTGCGGTCACTCCTGTTTCTGGGAGGTATACTGTTTGGAGAACTCCTAGACGAGAAATCTGATCCAGAAAGTGAAGGAAGTCTTTTTCAAGACTTGGTAAACCTTGACACACAGTTCTCAGAAAACAGGCCACTATGTACTGTTGCAGAATTCAGACTACTCAGGACCAAATGGGAATCTGAACACAAGATATCTTCCCCGGATGAGCACAAGATAACAGGAAAGCAGAGCCAGCAATGAAGACAGATAAAAGACAAAACAGATGGGAAGGGAATGCTAATTGGCAATGTTAAACTATTACAAGGTAGTTTTCCAAGAACTAGACCAGTGGTTCTCAACCTTTTAAATTCAGGGCGCCCCTCCATACATTTTTTGAATTCAGCAGCACCTCAGTTGAGAACCATTGTTGTGTTGCCGCAGCTTTCCTCAATGGCTTTCAACTAGGGAGCTAGCATCACCACAACCACAGCCAAGTGCAACTGCCCCATTCACCCTGTGTGCAGCCAGATAAGCCTAAAGCAGGCAGGAGCGCCCACTTCTGCCACAGTCCTTCCCAGTCTGCACTCTTCCCTCCCTCCCAGCCCACCTCCAAAAATGAGGTGCACAAGACAGTTCCATCTGCCCCAGATTCCTCTGTTTCCAGGATGTTCAAGAAAAGTCTTGGGAAAAGTTGGTCTGGGAAGGGCTGTGGCAAGACCAGGTGCTTCTGCTGGTTTTAGGGTTATCAGATAACCCTAAGCCAGGCATGGGCATGCACTCTTGCCACAGCCCTTCCCAAGCGGGCTGTGTCTGAGGCACATGGGAAAGTTTCACCTAGCTGATGCTCTGGGAGCACCTGCACCATGGAACAGCTCACAAGGGTCTTGTGGCACCTCAGTTGAGAGCCATTAGACTAGACAGTAGCTCAGGGCAGGGTCATGGAGACCAGAGAACTCTGCTGTCCATGGAGGACTGTTCACTCCAGCCCAGCAGCTGGACAGTGTACAAGAATATCAACTTGAGCAGGCAGCCTGCTACAACAGAGCCAAAGCTTTGAGGCAGAGAGCGAATCTGACTCTTACCAGCTAACTTCCACACAAGACAATAACCAAAGGCAACAGTCCAAGCCACAGTGTGCCACATTTCATATGAGACAGCTACAGACTCAGGACAGTAGTGTAGACCAAACCAAAGACAACCATGGAATAGTTACAGGCAAATGCTACTTGCAAACAAACAAGGCCCTGGCTAGAAACCAGGAAGGTATAGAAAGAATATCAACCTTTAGCTATATGAGCTATCTGAGCAATCAGATGACCAACAGTATACCATCCAATGGACTGAAGACAGAACAAGTATGCAAACAAATGCTCCACAAATGGCAACACCAAAACCAAGATGTGACAGATTGGATGAAAGAGCAGAATCATTTAAAGAGTTCTGATACCTAAAAGGCTAGAGGGCTGGCATTAAAGACATGTCCCTATAGCAAGCTGAACAATAATAACCTCTGTTGCTGGTGAATCTTCAAATGCTGGCATCATCACAACAAAAAGAATTGAAAGGAAGATGTAGCAATCTGCACAGAGCACAGAGGAAACAGGACAGGTTACAGTGAGGAGAGAGTTTGACTGAGGCACCAGGACGTCAGTCAGGCTATATATGGCTGGAATCCTAGCACATCTGTAAATAGTTCTGCTAATAAAAATTGGTGTTATCAATCAGCCTCCAGTATGCAAAACAAACTAAATTAAAAACACAGAGAGGTTAATGAAAATGAAGCTAAATCAGTATTAGGTTTATTTTCTAAAAGAGTTTTCTTAGCTCTTATCTGTGGTTAAATCCTCCTTCTTAGAGATGTGTTTAAATGCTTCCTAAAATAGGTTCCTAAGCAACTGCTACAATCCCGTAAAGCATGATAGGGGAAACTTCTGTAATCATGATTAAAATGGTCTATTTTTAGCAGAGTATTAATTAGAATTTGGAAAAAAGGCACATTCATCCTAAAAACACAAGTGGCTGCTAAATATCTTGACGCGCTCCCTGAAATGTCCTCATCCTGTGAAACTGGGTTAACAAGCTATGCAGTAAGGCAGGGATGCTGTGTAGATAAATTTTGTACAACCATTTTTAGTACCATTATTTCAAAATAATTTGTTCTTTATTATTCCCAGCCTCACAACTTCATATCACTGGCAATTTCATGTTGCAGTTACATATTTGTTGTGACACCTATCCTGTGCCTCAATGGTAAGAGCCAGTTTATAGGTTATTCAACCAAAGCGTACTAGCACTCATTGGTATGGCTGTCTCTGCTTTTTTTGTGGTAGGCAGTACAAATGAGCTCGACTTAGTGTCAAATAATAAAAGTCAGAAATGTTTTTGAGGAAATAGGCCAGTAATAAAGATATGTTGACAACTTCATGTGACCTTGTGAGACAGCACAAGGAAACAGCACCTGCTGCACATTTCCCATATAATGTAATGCAGAATCTCTGATGCTTCAGATACTTTAAGGCAGGGGTGGGCAAAATGCAGCCCATGGGCCAGATGCGGCCCGCCAGCCCATTCTATCTGGCCCATGGGGCCCCTAAAAAATTTGGAAAATTAATATTTTTCTGCCCCTAGCTGCCTGTCATGCGGCCCTCAGTGGCTTGCCAAAACTCAGTAAGCGGCCCTCCGCCTGAAATAATTGCCCACCCCTGCTTTAAGGCATGAGAACAGCCATATATACCAGTTGTCCTTCAATAAATCTAAAAATTTATCTGAAATCTAAAAATCTTATAGACAATGCGAGCTGCTTGGCTTGTTTAGCTTAGCAAAAATGTGGTTGAGAGGGAGTATGATTGCTCTCTATAAATACATTAGGATAGGGGTTAGGAACAAACACAGGGGAGGGAGAAGAGCTATATAAGCTAAAGAGTTGCGTGGGCACAAAAATAAAAAAAAGAGTTGGTATAGGCTACAAGATAGGTCATGGACCTGATCTACACAGCACAGGGAAGGACTATGCAGTAATGCCTACACCAGCTTTGCAAGTGCTGGCTCAAGACAGTTTCTCTCATCTGTATGGCTCCCCTTTTCTGCAGTTACATCATGCTAACTCAGGTATCTCTCTACAGCACTACCTTGTGTCATACACACATGCCCAAAATGAATTTTCTACATACAGATCATGAAAAAAACCAACAAAATCAACACCCCAAACAAAAAAACAAACAAACAAACAACCCCCATGACAGAGCCAGGAAGAGCCAGGAACGAAACAAGGACAGGTGAAATCCTGACTCTGTCAAAATCAATGACCGCGGTCTATTCACTGCAAAAAAGCCCAGTCTCTCAGCTCCAAATTGACACTCCCCCACAGGACTTAAATATCTGTGCTTAAGTATTCACATTTTCGTAGCTGCTGTGACATCTAACAGTGTTATTTTTTTCTGGCGTTTTTGTCCCACTTTAATCAGGAATGTTTGTACCAACACAAAGAACTGAAGGTATCTCAACCTCAGACATTATTACTAGAATTGTACGAGATTATGACGTCTATGCCCGACGCAACCTCCAAAGAGGATACACTGCCAAAGAGCTGAATGTTAGTTTTATAAATGTAAGTATGCTGCACTCTCTTCTGATGGACCTTAGAATACCAAGTTGGAATGGGGATGAAAAAGAGACAGCCTAATTTGAAATGGGAGATAAAATAGAGCAAGACCTAGTTAAAACAAGCTGAAGGATAATGTATTAGGAGATACTGGTAGACTTGTGAGTTTGGTTTTTTTGCTTAATAGTCTTGGCAGTTATCATTGTCACATACCATTTGTCAGTGCTTGTTGAAAGTATAGCTGTTTAGAGGAAGCCAGCACCCCCAATTGCCTACTGTATTTGTGAACTACAGCATACTTCTTATTAAGCTGCTGCTAATGAGCCTAGCAGATTAAAAACAAGTTTCCAGGCAGTCTTTCAAGCAGTAGCCAAGAGTTTGTGTTTCATTATTGCTGCTATAACAGGGACAGATACTAGAGAGCAGAAATAAATATGCAGAAAGCACAAGCTCTGCTATCAAATTCATTCCTCTACAAAGCAATTAAAAAAAAAGATGGAAGCTAAAGGCTTAAGGCAATCCCATGAATCAAGAGCTCTGTAGCAAGAAGTTGCAGAAATCAGAGAGCATCACCAAGTCACTTTTATGCAACACAAAATGTAAGCCAAGGTACCAATATAAAACCTTAGAGTGGCTAAGGCTTACATTAGAAAAAGTTGCTTTCAAATTAAACTATTTCTAAAAACAGAATTGTCCATGCCAACCAAGGAATAGTAAAGATGTGAAGGACACATCTTCTTTTTACTGTCCTCCATTTTCTCTGTCAAATCTTAAATCAGAACCCCGTGAAAGTCACATTACTGAAATGCTCCTCTGTCCTGTTCTGTACTAAAGAAAAGCTTAGGAACACAGGTCTGGAAAGGGCTCTTCAGCATGTAGGGCCACTCTGGCGTGCACTGTGCATGCGGGACCTGGGACCAGGGCTGGGGCATCCTGAATGCGGCACGCAGGGCTGGTCCAGGGTGCCTGCTGCATGCAACACCCATACATTGGATCCAGGATATGGGGCCAGTCTGCAGGCCCGATCTGGCCCACAGGCCAGCCTGTGCTTCTTATCCACCCACAGATTGGCCCAGCATCACTCATCTAGTCCACGAAGCCTAATGAGTTGAACAACCCTGATCTAATCCAACCTTGCATATGCCACAAAACTCAAAGCACATTATGGGTGCCTTTACACGTGACAGTTTTTGCCATTTAAAGTGTTCTAAAGCCATCACATAATACACATCAGCAACTTGAGAATGTTGTTAAAAGGGTGGTAGTTGCCTTAATTAAACCTTGTTGTATGCATTTTAAATGTAAGTCGAACTGCAGTACTGAGCCTCAGACTACCTGGTTTCTCTTTTTTGCACATGTATTTAACTGGAGCTTTTTAAAGTGGTAATTAGATCTCCTACCAGTGTCCAGCGCCTCCTACTCTACAGAACTACAGCAAGGCATGAAACTCACACCAAGCCATGGAACATCTACTAAGTTTTAAGGCACTGTACCTAAAGCACTTTAAGTAAAGCACGAAAGTTACAGCACCTTTGGATACACCTGCCCTGCACATGTATAGGCATCCATTGAAAACAAAATAACACCCCACAAAACATGCCACAAGTAAAAGCAGAGGAGACTAGCACACTGCCAGTGCTCTGACACTCCAAGTATTTTGCAGTTAATCTGTGCTCAGAAGATCTTAGGAAGAGGACCATGCCTTTCACTGCAGAGAAAGGTAAAAAAAATCCCCAACAAAACAAACAAACCACAGTCCTTGTGAAGCTAGGGGGAAAAAAAATCCTTCCTGACCCCAGATGTGGCAATCAGTTTAATTATTATGAGCAGAAGAGAAAGACAGCTTAGTCAGGTGCCTGAAAGTCAAATCACAAAAGGTAAACAGCAAACCACTAAATTTCTGGACCTGTGGGAAATAGCACATGTTGGATGACCCAGCTCCATGGGCATGATCCAGCCTGTGGGCCATAGGCTGAGCACCACTGGTACATAGGGTCCTTGGATCAGTAATTGGTGCATGTGATACATGGGTTCAAGTACTTATTTGTAATCCCCATGGTAAGGATGGGCAGTAACTCTGTCTATGGAAGGTGCTTGAAAATACCAGGCTTCAGGGCCTTTGCCGGTTGTCTATTGGGGCCAGGAAGGAATTTTTTTTCCCCTTACGAAGATTTTATTGGTTTCTGTGTGTGGTGTGCATGTATGCATGTCTGTCTTTTGCTTTTTTCTCTAAAGCACTGGTGATAGGCCATAATTACAGGGTGGGAGTTTTGACAAGGATACACTGGTATTCCCATCAGTATTTTAAATCTTTTCAGGCATCTGGCTAAGATGTCTTTCTCTTCTGCTCATGGTTAAATGGATTGCCAGATCTGGGGTCAGGAAGGGGCAAGATTTGGTGACCCCATGTCACTCATCAGGCTGGATGGGTTGAGCACCACGGCTCTACACTATCACACTATTCTTTCCCTGAACTGGTCAAATCCCATCTTGAATAGATTCATGTTCTTCATCCCCCACTAAATTCTTGGAATATCATTCCAGAACATAACTTCCCACTTACCCAAATAACTGGGAATTATTATCTGAATATGGGTACTTAATGAGGACTTCTTTTTTTCTTTGAAGGAAAGGCGATGCATCATAAAACATATTTCCCCTGTTTATTTGATAAGGGTGGTTATATTTATTTGATTACCTTTACTGTAATATTACTCTCAATTTGATATCTAACATTTTTTTAAAACTAATCAAAGATAATACTAGGTGTTACCCCTGCCTCAAGTCTGCTGCCAGTTATGCTTTTCCTGTTCATTTCTTTTCCTTTCTTGTTCCTTTTGCTGCATTGTAGATCTACATAAAGAACAGAGAAAAGTGCCAGAACACAGATAGTTCCCAAACACACAAAGGAAACAAATAGGGAAACAGATAGTAAGATAAGGATCTCATTTTAAGCTCTCAGCTCCTTGTTCCAATAACTGGCAAACTTATTCCATGCAAATGTAGTTTTTTCAGGATGTCCTTTTAAACAGCTTCTGAAAATGGGGAATAATTGGTTTAAATTAGGCCCAATGCCTTTCAAAGGAAGTTAGGCATGCAGGAGAATTTACAGAAGTACCTGACTGAATTAAAAATAAAATGAAAATACTAATTCTACATTGTGGTTGGCATTAAAAGACCCCCTACTGAGCAGCAGTTTGGGCATATTTTTAGCTTGTAAATTTTAAAGTGCACTTATACTTTGAAAAGTACTTCTATAATGGCAACAAAAAATCATTTTTATTACATTTCAGTGCCAGTTCTTAAAAGCTCAGGTGCACATACCACTATGTATTTAAATGTCTGTTTTGTGCATTTCCCACAGTATCTGACTTGAATACTTCTTACATATAGAAACAACCATCTAAGATGCACACTGAGAACATCAACCATTTGTGGTTCTACAGCATTCAGTGTTATGAATGTATACATCATATGCATTTGTATGATCACATTTGGAATGAACCCTTATATCATACTCGATCAATTTACAGGCTTTAAAAAAATATTGATTGTCTTCATGCCAGCCCTAAAAATACAAACTAAAATTTAAGAGCCAAACCCTGTATTTTCTGGCTTATGCATCATTGCTTGATATCTAATCAGTTGTATCGTTGAGCCAGGAGCTAGCGTAGGCACCATTTCACACTTTCATAACTGCAAAGATAAAAATAAGAAACTAGTCTGAACATACACAAGCAGCAGATTCTGTTGAGTCATAAATTTACATTGCCATTTTTTTTACCATATATGTACTTTGCCATATTGAACAGCCCTAGGAGAGCTAAAGAACAGTTTTCTGCGAGAGAAATTAATAGCACTGCCATTTATTCAGCTCCAGTTAAACAAAATTCACAGTTGGTGATGAACTGACTGAAAAATCTGCTCCCTCAGGGTTCATATCTTCAGAAAAACAACTTCAGTCCTGCAGAGCCTTTAACATTTTATGTGATAAGTTGAGCTGCCAAAGAGCTCAGAAATTTTCTTCTAAAACCTCAATGTTGAGAAGTTCAGGAGGTAGCAGGACCAACCTCCCTTAGGGTTGTTTGCATATGTAGGAGGTGTCTTGTAATCCTATGCTTCACTGCTTCTGTTTGTCATTTTCCTTTGAAGCACCGGCCATTGGCTTGGCAGTGCTGGTTTTCCTAATGGAAGAGAGAAACTGCACAGGCACAGGAGACTAGTAGAGGGGACATGGGGGGGCACGTGTCCCCCCTGAGATTGGCCCCAATTTAGCGCTGCTCAGGACAGGGCAGTTTTTCTGCCACGCAGGCCGGCAGCATGTTGGGGAGGGGGGGGCACTAAGCCACAGTACAGAAGTATAGGAGTGGATATGGGGCTTTTGGCCCGTCCCCAGGCCCGTCCACAAATTGTGCCTGCCCCCTCCCCTCCACCCCCCACTACACACACACACTCAGGAGGCACCAGTTACCCCTGCTCAAAGGTTCCTAGCTTTGAAGGTCTTGCTCACATAGTGCCAAATCAACAGCCAGATCTGAATTAGGAAGGAATCTTCCCACAGGTCAAATTGGCAAGGACCACTGGGACTGCTGCCTTCTGTAGCATGGAACATGATCCTTTTTTCCAGATGATTGCAATAAATTGACTTTCTCCTATGTTATTTGGATGTTTTGTGGCTATGAGGTGCAAAAGATGTTGGAGTGGTCCTTCTGGACAATAGTTTCTTGTGAAATAGGCATGTCAACCCGTATCTATCTCTTCTGCTGTGCTGTGTAGCATTACGTACTAATCAGCTCCCTCTTCCTCTCCAGTTCTTCACTGCTAAGACACCTGGGCAGTGGCTCGGCACTTATTTATGTTATAACTAGGGGAACACCTATTATCCCAAATGCCTATATTTGAAGACGTTTCTCTTTTCGCAAGAGAAACTTCAGACTGAGATAGCACCAAGGGCTGCAAGGCAATAGTGGGATGACACTTGCAGGAAGCTGTGGGAAGTTTTCATGTTGACTACCACAAGACTGAGTTATTTCTTGACTTGCATAAGCACTAAATTTACAGCAGCTTTAAACAGTGGCCTAGGTAATCTATATAATTATGTTATGTTTCACATTATATGAGTGAGAGAGAAAGAGAGAGAGCTTAAGGTGTTTTTAAACATACTATAAATGCAGTACCTATGCAAGTGGGGAAATAACTCAGTCTTGTAGTAAACAACATGCAAGCGTCCCATACTTTCCTGTGGGAAGTTTGTATCTGTGTGTGTGTGCACACATGCATATGTGTATCTACACACCCACCTGTTTAATAATTTTTTTGGTGGAAAGTGGTAGCATGTGATAAGCACTGAACAATAATAGATGTGTGTGTTAAAATATTAAAGGATAATATTCATATAGATCCTGTGCATTTTATCAATAATACTCTCTTCTTTTTCCCTCCACATTCACTTGATTATCTCTTATCCATCCATATGTACTTTTCACCCAGGAGAAGAAATACCGCTTTCAGAACCAGGTAGACAAAATGAAGGAAAAAGTTAAGAATGTTGAGGAAAAATCGAAAGAATTTGTTAACAAAGTGGAAGAGAAGAGCCACGACCTCATCCAGAAATGGGAAGAGAAATCCAGAGAGTTCATTGGCAACTTTTTAGAGCTGTTTGGACCTGATGGAGCATGGGTATGTATCTACATCATTCCAGGCATAATGTCTGCTTTTTATTTACTTTCTTTGTTATTGCACAAACTTACAGTAGGTTACAGTAGGCTGCAGCCTTCATTTTGAAAGTCAGTAGAGCAAACCAAAGCCAATTCCACTCATCTCAGCCAGCAACAACATGTGTCAAAACCACACTGCAAAGATCTCCCAGTTTGAAAGTCTCTTTTGAACTGCTGCTGTACTTTTATCTTTCGTAAGGCTCTGGTAACATTTATGCACTGCCCAGGTATGTTACATTCTGCACGTTAACATACATATTATGCAGTAGTACAAGGAGAACTATTCCCTGTAGTTCGCTGTAGGAATAGTTCTCCTTTCGTTATCATTAAGAAGAAATTAAACACATATAGCAGAGTGTGATGATACCATAAAAAATTGTTGCAGAGGGGCAAAGTTTAAATAATCCGAAATTCAGATTTTTATAAATCAAATAATTCTCCTTCTCTCTCATTGTCTGTTCTATGTGGTATAGTGACCACTGTTATAGTTAAGAAAAAAATTATATAAAACTTACGTTGAGGAATTATTTGAGACCTTCAATAATGAATTTCAGGTACTTGTCAACCAGTAAGGCAATTTCAGGCAGGACTTCACTTCAAAGTTTTGTTAATTCATCTCTTGTGAATGATTCACTCAGCTTTACATAACACTTTTTATTCAAAGAGCTCAAGTTGCTCTTCAAAGGCTTAAAAAAAACCTGTAATTTACAAAAAGGCACTGAGACACCCCAAACCACATCATGAATGAATTAGTGACAGTTAGGAGAAGAAGCCACCCACGAGTCTTTGTCACCCAGCTCTATTTTCTAATTAACCCAAGGGATGCAGTCTACTCCATCTTTTGAGATAATTCTCATGTCTGCTTCTTTATGATGGTATAATTAATTGCAAAACCTTAATGTTCATGTAAAAGCAAACAGTGGTTTGGAAGTGGTATTAACATATTAATTCCATCCCAACCAAATCTATGGTATATATGGAATCTGGGCCATCTAGCAAAACCCTAAAACATTTGTAAAGTTTTAAGTTTCATGCTTAAGGTTATGCACTTGTTTAAGGGTTTTGCAGGGTCATATTAAAAATAAACCCAGCAGAGGACCTCCTAGTGACATGAATAGACAATGTGCAAATTAACTGAAGGTAATAGTGTAAGCAAGCTATTGCCCACCAAAATGTACCCCAGAGTATGTGGGATTGATCAAAAGTGCATTGCAAAGGCAGTGGGTATGGATTCATTCATACAGTTCCCATTCATTTCAAAATGAACCTTGTAGCTGAAACTTGTACAAAGTTTTAATCATGTATAGGTTAAAGGATGAGGGGAACAACCACTGCATTCAACAAGTTACAACTGTAAGAAGTAAATGTAAATTGCTGTTATTCTATCAAAACAAAAAGAATATTAAATTCGTATGCTGACTGTTTTTGTTGTGCTTCTGCTTCAGGTGCAAAGTTAATACTGTAAGGTTAATACTGACCTAAAGCAGAATATCAGCAGGTTTTGCAAACATCAGTTAAGTTTCCCAACTTTGTGAGAAGTTAGATTGCATTACATCTGCTTTATAAATGAAAAATATAAAAAGAGTAGTATCAAAACACATATATGTGAATCTAAGCATCTTTGCTCAATTGCAGCTTAACCAGTTCCCTCAGTTGCCCACATTGTTTAGTATTCTAATGTATTATGCTGGGTCTAAAATGAGATTGTAAATCATTCAGAACAAGGGACTATGGCTTGCTTGTGCAGAAGGCACAGCTGTATTGGTAGTAGTGCAGAGAGGTGCCATTTTTGACCAACACGGCAGTGCTGAAAGAATTTCCAAACGTAGATACAACTATACAAGCAAAACTTCTCTTTTAAAGGTAAAGCTTATTTCATTTCAGGGTGGGGAGACTAAACTATGCCAATTGAAGTGCAGTCTTGTCAGTATAGCTGTGTGCACACAAGTAACACTTTGCCCACGTCACATGCTGCAGGGTTGTGAATTAGGAAAGAGATATTACCAGGAATGGCTAACAGACAGCAAAGTTGCTGAGGAAAGGGTAGCGTGATTAGTAGAACACTAAAAAGGGGAGAAGACCACTAAAAAGGATAGAGGATCATTAACACCCGTGGAGTGAAGAGACAGTAGCAGGAATTAGCTAGGTTACAATGAGCCACGAAGTCCCTCAGCACTGTCTCAATAGAAGTGTCACTGCCCCTCTCAGACAGCTGGTTTTAAATTAGGGATGGAGCAGGAATCAAAGGAGGGGTACAACTGCACCCTCCCTGGATCTGCTCTTGGATGCCAGATATACAATAAAGACAACTGCAGAGCAACATCCCATAAAAGTGTCCACTAAAGAGTGAAATCACAGCTGGAATTGTTCTAGGGAAAGCTCTAGTGACAGTGAGTGGAGGTTGGTTGTTTTTTTGGTTGTTTTTTTTTTAAATCAACTTAAACCTGGCAACTGGAGAGGCTTTCTTTTCCCCTAATGATAACTTGCTATTAGTGTCAAAACTGTTATTAATGTTAATTTGCCATAACACAGTTAGTTAGATGTTGCTTTTAATGTTGACGTTAAAAGTACAGAAATAGTTATAGGCATGTTAGATTCCTAGATCAGTAATTTGCATCCCATTAATACGCTATTATTATAATAACTGTTTGTGAAATAATACACTTTGTGCTGGCATCAATTTTCTAGAAGGTAAAGGCTGAACAACCCACCAAAATATCAATTTCTAGAAAAGGTCAAAAATGTCAGTTTTCAAACTTGCAAAGGATGCAGATATTTTATTTACTTATAATTTTGCTCACCAAGAGAGCTTTATACACATTTCATTTCCTTTAGAGAGTCACAGGGGTGCTCCAATACCACAGTGATGAATGGGGTAGAAAAACTCCCAGCCAGGCTGACAGGTGTCATACAGTCTCCTACTTGCATACCAAAGTAAAGCACTAACCATATAGTGAAAGGTACTCTGGCTCAGTAGCAGTGAAAAAGATAACATCAGCATGGGACTGGTGGGTGTAACATCTTCTGCTATTCTGACTTAGATTGAAGATATTCCAAAAGGTGTCGTTTAAAAAATATATTCAAATTTATATCCACATTGTTGGGATTTTTTTCAAAAAACAGCCTCTGGTAACTTCTCAGCCCTTCCTCATCAGTAGAATTTCTCAGCCTTTGCAGAGTTTCCCTGACCAATGAAGGGTTTGATGGCCAGTGCCCAAGCTGTCATTCAACTGCTAATGATCAATCTAATCAAAATCCCAAACTGGAAACCCATATTTAGCATGTGCTATATATTTAGTATGGACTCTAAAACTCATGAGTGGTCACACACAAAACTTCATGCTGTCACTTTTCTTTCTTAAAGACATGGAGAGTTCCACACACAGTAAATACAATTCTGGCACTACCTCATGTAGCTTCCTAAGACCTAAACCCAATAAAGGCTCCACTATAGCCAGCACTAATGCACTGACTCATTGTATAAATATAATTGGGCAAAAGTGTTGTGACAAATAGCAAATTTTCCAAAAATACCATTTTGGTCATTCAAAAATTGTTTGAAAATTGTATCTAAATTTGCTGATTAGTTTCAGCTGGTGGGGGAGGAAGGAACCCCCAAAATGTCAAGACCAGCTTTACAAAGTGCTAAACATAGTGCTGGTGAAGGTATTGGTTTCATCGCTTCCACTTCTACATAACTAAGTGGTTAAAGCACTCACCAAGGATGACGTAGGTCCATGTCCCACCTCTTCCTATTGAAGACCCCATCTCCCACCTTCCAGCAGAGTTCTTTTAACCAGTAAAACCTGGATATCATAGGATATGGTGACTACAGTCCCTCTTGTTCAAATAATTAAACATTCACTGGAACAAGAGGTGGAACCACACCAGTCAGTCTCTCAGGTGCATGTCTTAGCCGCTTCATTGTCTCAGTGAATACTTAATTCTTCTGTAGGCGTGACCTGCCACTTACAGGAATGAAGGGAACCCACCTAATGTACAATATAGCATAGCAAGTGGGACACCTGGATGCCAGTCCCAGCACCAGAGTAGGCAGTTTTTTATGCAGAGTAGAACAGTGTGGACCGGAGGGCTGGAGAGTACTTCCACCCTGAATAGCCTAGGTTTTGTTTGTTTTGTTTTTCATGTTCATCGGGAGCAAATACAAATTTCATTTGATCCAAAACAGGTTTTCAACCTGGCAGCTAAACCGAAACGTTCCGTTACTTGCACTGCCCTACGTGGAGATCCTGCTGGTGCCCCAGTCCCCACGAAGGCCTCTCCTTGCTAGAGCTGTTTCCATTGTTTGTGATGCTCCTCTAGGCAACAGGATCTTTGCCAGCATTGATTACATCCTTACAGCATTCTGCAGTTGTTGGCACAATGAACCCCCTCCCTTGCCTGAACACTGCCTCAGATTGGTAGGCTAGCAGCTTCTGCAGAGAGCAATCTCCCTGCTGAGATTTAGAAAGTGCTCTATGTTTGGACCACGCTTGAAACTTAGACAAATACACAACAGGCTTCTTGAACTAAAAGTGGTTTGATGGTTTAAAACAGGCAGATGACATTTCCACAGGTTGACTGAGAATACATTACAACATTTCATTGGACAACAGCTGGCAGACCCTCATCTCGCTTTGAAAAACTGTTAGCTAAAAAAAAAAATTCTTCTGATTTTGCATATAAATAATTTGTTCCAAAGTTTTAGGGTTTGTTTACATGACAAAGCTGTAGTATTTTCATTTCAGGTATGTTTCTAAATTGTTTCATTTAAACAGATGCAACAGACTGGCTGCATATTTCAATTTTAGTTCAACTCAAGTCTATTTTAGTTCTTAAGCCAAATAAAAAAAGAGTGTCTACATAGAGACTGAACTACTGTAACTCAATCAGCTTGAAAACAAATCTAGAGTAGTGGCACAACTTCACTTCTGCATGAAAAGACCTTTTTGTTTGTTTGTTTGTTTGTTTGTTTGTTTGTTTGAATCTTGGCTGCCATCAGCCACTAGCTTTTGCCCTCTGCATCTAGGAAAATAGGACATATTTAAAAAGCATGTTACCTAACACATTTAAAATAGCATGTTTCTAACCAGTGGTTTAGATAAGCTTTTAATACTTTTAAATCTAAGTCATTTAGTTGTGGTCATTCTTAGAGAAAAGAATAAAATCAACTCTTCTTGGCCAATGTTAACATGTCTTAAACATGATCTACATTCCTATTTAGAAACATGCTAAAGATGACATAGCGGCAAACATATTCATGCATGATCTATTGTCTTTGTCCAGACACACCTCAGTGTGCGACTGTGGTCAGAGGAGGCCAGGTGGTTAGAAGGTGAACATGAGCAAGTGGTGGGAACTGGGTGCCTTAAAGTACAAGGCCCTCACAACAGAGAGTATAATTTAAGATGGTAGTCTTCAAATGCCTGAAGGGATGCCATAAGAAAGAGGGAAAACACCTTTTCTCTCTTGCTACAGAGAGACATGGACCAGTGGCTTGAAGTTGCAGAAAAGTAGGTTTAGAGTTGATACTAGGAAAATCGTCTTCACTGTTAGAAGTGAGGCGGTGGAATAGACTGCTTAGGGAAGTTGTGGACTCTCCATCTTTGGAGGTGTTTGAGAAGAGACTGGATAAGGATTTTCAGGGATGATCAAGATGTAGCTATGCCTATGTTCTGCCTTGGGCATTTCCCACGCTTTTGGGCTTTGGTTTCCCTATGGGGCCAGGAAAGAATTGTCCCCTTCTTTCTGCTACATCAGGCTTTTTTGTTGCTGTTGTTTTTAACCCTTCCTCAGAGGCATTGGGTGTTTGCTGAAACCCAGAGTTGGGATTTGGACTGGGGTGTGCCAGTGCTCCTTCTGGGACTTGGAGGTTCCTGGCCACAGGGTCTTGCCCCACCGCTCAGGGTCAGACCATATTTGGGGTCAGGAAGGAATTGCACTCCATTGTCAGACTAGCATGGACTGTGGGAGAGTTTGCCTTCTTCTGCAGCAGGGATGTGGCCCTTTTCCTGGGCTCTCTGAAGCATGTTTTAACAACCTGTGCAGCAGCAGGGCATTAGCCATTGTGGTCCCTCTGCTTTAGCTGTGGCAGTTTGGGGTGTTAGGACTTGTGTGGTGTGAGGGTTGACTACGTAGGTTTGCTAACAGGTTAGACAAAGGATTTGTATATGATGGTTTGGAAAGGGGTGATCCTGCCTCAGGGAAGGGGTTGGAATAGATGATCGCTAGAGGTTCCTTTCCAACTCTATTTCCCAATGATACTATGATCCTCTGTAATTCGATGACTTTGTTTTTAACTCACAGTGGAGAAGTTAAAAGTTAACCTCAAGAGAGGCAGCAGAGCAGGGTGAAGGGGAGTGAGTGTAGGCTATGAATGAAATTATCTCCAGCAAGTGGGAATATAGTAAGTATCTTGCATAAATTAACGTTTTATTTAGCTATACGAGGCAAATTTTTGTGCAGTGATGCTCAGGCTTTTCCAGACCTGCCATATTTCAACTAAACTTGAATAATATTCCTAAGCATGAAGAGTTTTCTCTATCAATCCTCACTGAAGTTATTTTCAGTATAAATGTTTTGCTAGCTCCATAAATGGTCCAGTAGCATTCATTTTTTTTCTGTCTGGAGGACAGGGGCTCTCTCTGACTTGGTGTCTATAAAGATGCTGTATAAAAAAAGAATGGCATCTTCTGGTTTACAAAGTCCTTTCCTTGGTTGAAATTTAGGCCCTGCTGACATCGGTAGGGAAATCCCTATTAATTTGAACGAGTGCTGGATTTCACTTCATGCCTATATGCAGTATTTTTCCTCTCTCCTTGCTACAGTGACAAGGTGAAGGTCAAAGGTGTGCTCACATGCAGATAACTGCCAGTGCTGCACCAGGCTTGCAAAATCTGACCATGGGCTTCCAATAACTTTTGATTCCTGGTGGTATTGCAGAAGCAACCCAGTGAGGGCAATACTAAATAGATCTATTCTGCCCATCCAGCAGTAGAACTGTTAACTGTATTACAACAGTAGGCTCAAATCCTGTCCTTGGTGGGCATGTCTACAAATACATTAACATGCTTTAGTTAATGCGCATTAAATCTAGTACCTCCATTATGAGTTACTAAGAGAATGTGCATTAGCCTGTCTGAATGCACATTAACTAAAGAGCATGGGGCACCTATATACAAACACGGAGGCTGCTCCAGCATGTTGGCATTCCAGCGCATCGACACAGACTCGATTCATTGGAATGAATCGCTCAGAAGGGATCAGAGAAATTATACTGAGCCAGGAAGTCAAGTGATTCTCTCCACGCTGCCTGACTAGAAATGCTGCTGCCACTACCAGGTAGTTGGTTTTAAATTTTCAGTGCAGCAAAAATCAAAAGGGGGTGCAAGTGCACCCATACACCTCCCCTGGATCCACCCCTGCCCTCTTGCTCTGCAGAAAACAGCCCTCCCCCTAAACTGGGCTTCCAGGTGGACAAACCATCCAACCATGGTGAGTTAGTCACAGGGTCTCTTCTCAAATTGCCTTTCAGAAACAGATGTTTCAGGAGCGAAGTGGACGGATGCTCCAGGCCTTCTCACCGAGGCAGAGCCCAACCAGCAGCCCAACACGAGGCCGCTCACCATCCCGCTCTCCGTCACCACCCTTCCCATGGCTCTCCAATAAAGCCTCGCCTCCTTCTTCTCCCAAAGCTGCCTCAGCCTCCATTAGCAGCATGAGCGAGGGCGATGAGGATGAAAAATAAAGTAAGAGTCATTTTAAAAGGGGCAAAAGAACCCCAAACACAAAACAAAAAAGAAAACAGTCATGTAACCTGCAACTGGATGGAGGGAGAACAACAAGGGGGATATTTCTGACAGATGGGAATGTGCGCTAATGAGGAGACATTGTCCGGAGACTGGAGCACTGCCAGAGACAGGATCTCAGGAACAGCTTCCCCCC